TATATATATATGATTATATATATATATATATATATATTATATAAAGTATATATATATATTATATATATATATATATGGTATATATATATTAATATATAATATATATATATATATATACATTATATTATATTAAATATATATATATTATATATATATTACTTTATTATTAAATATTAATATATTTTTGTATGATATGTAATATATATTATATATTATATAATCATATATATACATATCTATTAATATATATATATATAATAATTAGTTTATATATTTTTTATGCATCATATAATTAAACATATAAAATAATCATTATCATATTATAATATAATATATAATCATATTCATATATATATATCATCATATATAATATATATCATATGTATAATCTTTAATACATAGATGATATACATAAGATATGTATTCATATATATTTATTTTATGTATATTCATATTTACTTAATATATTTTATATACATATATATATATCATATACACAACAACACACATATATATTATATAATATATATATTTATATATATTATTTATATATATATATAAATATATATATATTATATATTATATATTTATATATTTATATATATTTATTTTATATATTTTATATATTTATATATTATATATATTTATATTTATTTTTATGATATATATATAATCTATCTATCTATCTATCTATCTATCTATCTATCTATCTATCTATCTATCTATATGTCTGTCTGTCTGTCTGTCTGTCTGTCTGTCTGTCTGTCTGTCTGTCTGTCTGTTGTGTCTGTCCTTCTGTTGTCTGTCTGTCTGTCTGCTGTCTGTCATCTCATCCATCTAATCATCCATCCATCTCCATCCATCCATCCATCCATCCATCCCATCATCCATCCATCCATCCATCCATCATCCATCCATCTACCCAGCTATGAAAAAGGGGAAATGTGCCATAAATATATTAAGTTTATCTATCTATATACCTATCTATTTCTTAGTATGCTGTCTTCCTAAATAGTTAGAAAACCAGTGCTTTAAAGGAATAGGAATAAAATAATTTGAGATAGAAGACTCTGTCAGGAATAAGGAAACAAATTTGATGGAATTTACATCAACAAAAAATATATAAAAACACTTACAAACCATTCAAGCAGACCATCAACAAAAGGATATTAAATATACATAATAAGCATTTACAACACCCAATGACAGTTCTGTCACATAAGTTACCAGTTTTTTTTTTAATAAATATCCACACATTTACATCCTAAAATCCAACCTAATAAACCCCACATAGACTTCACGATTATGATGTGCTCACCCCCGTCCCCCTAAAGAACTAAGCCTTGGTGTGTCTCAGAAATTATATTACCTTCTGCCCTAGATGGTGGTCACGCCTCCTAGATAGCATGTGATGACTCTTGACAGCAGACCTCATTCCAAACCCACTCACTCCTCCACCCACTGCAAGATCTGCTGCTGCCTGGTGTCGCTGTCGTAGCTGCCATGTTAGGATGAGGTTGGTTACCTGTGGAGTCAAGGAATAAGGTATATGGGGGGAATTATGATACTTTCACCACTAATTATACATTGACCCCTACCATGTACTTATTTTATCATACATTCTTCACACTCAATATAGATATACCATTTACTGTACACTCTTTATACATACACTTCTTACTAAACACTTATCAGACCCTTAATAATTGGTAAACAATCACCACCATTCACACACTCATCATATATAACCCATATAGTTACCACTTACTATGAATTCCCATCAAACAGCATACCTGTGACAAACATGCGATGAATGCCAAGATCGCCACAGAGCGCCAGGAGATGATGCTGGAGAGAAACCTCGGAAACATCCCTGGTCTGGACAGTTCTGCCGTGCAATCATGCCGAGGTCAGGACACTGCACTTCTGACATTATTCATGACCTAGGGAGGAAAAAATTGTCTTTGAAGATCAATCATTATGAAAACTCTTATATCAACATACCTGACAGGCAATTGTTAGCAACTGTGAGGAAAAATTAAAGAAAATATTTAAAATGCATATGAAAATTAACAAATGAACTTCAGTAAAAAATCTTATATTTTTGGTTCTTGGAAAATTCTGTTATTTCAATAACTACTTCATAATTTGGAGAAAGAATGAAAGGGAGGGAGGGAGGGAGAAGAGCAGGAGGGAGAGAGGGAGAGAGAGAGGGAGGGAGGAGAAAGAGGGAAAGGGAGAGGGAGAGGGAGGAGAGAGAGGGAGAGGGAATCTAGTGATCTGCTCCCTCGCAGACCGCAAAAGCCATGTGTTGTTTATTTCGCAGGATTCCAGAGTGCCCTGCGCCCTGAACGAAATGAGATTTGACAAAGTGACCGTAGAATACACTAATCTGACCCTTATTGCTCTCATACATTTCCCATGCTTTTATTCTCATGTCTTCATATATAAATATGTCATGTTTAATACTTAAAATGATTTAGGAAATGCTTATTTTGAA